GGGTTCAGGGTTTAGGGTTTGTTTTACCTGGCTTGGGATTACGAGGGTTTATGGGAAAACAGGGTTCTTGGAGGGAAAACAGGGTTCTTGGGGGCCATATTATACTATAAGTATACCACGGAACACGCAAAAAATATTGGCAAATATTTAGACCTCATACAGTAAGCTGACATCACCTATGCTGACGACAGTGGTGATGATGATGGGAGCGGCGATCATTACCAAACGCTAACCACATCTACTAAATACTGCTACGATGCTTAATGCTGTTTGTATTCCGAAATAGTCACATCGCTTGTTAGTGTCACTGTGTCGCGCCTGTTGGTCGTAAGTACTGACTACCTGCATGGTAGAATGATTGTTGCTACTGTTTCTTGTCTGACTTCATTCACAATGCTCCGAAGCGGCTGTATCGATGTTGCTGGCGGCCTTGCTCTGAAGGAGCGTTCTAATTGCTCCATCTGCTAAGTCTCTTGTACAGTGTACTGTGACCGTGATCATACACCTTGATGCCGCCATGTTGTTAAAGAACTCTATTGACTTCACTGTCGCTGCCACTTCGCGCCGGCGCACAGTCACCATCAGCGCCGCATCACAGCCTCCACCACCACGATCATTAGCACCAACACCGTCATCATCTCGACACCAACAACAACTACGATGATATTCGGAGCGCGTGCCTCACCTCTTTTTATCCTGATCTTGCTCCTCACCTGGATCGTCCTCATCGCAACACCATCATCACCAGCATGCAAGCTCTATCTTTTGCTAAAGTTGGGGTAACATTGCTCTCGGCTACAAGATACTCTGTGGCTGAGTGGCTCAAGCTTGCGTATAGATGGCCTCAGGCAACTGACGAAGTTTCCTCCAAATCATTTTGATGATTCATGCTTGATATTCCTGGAAGCGGGTCATGCACTTACAGCCCCCTGAACCAATCTCACAAGACACAGGTGAATGCATTCAATGACACAGTTGCAGACACTAGCTAAAGGACCGTGAAGCACGCTGCAGACCAGACAAAGCTGCGTGGAACGCAAGCCACCCAACACGTCAAGAAGCCAAAGAAGTCGAATTCAAGAATCTAGGGCCCCTACCCGGTCGCATAAGGGTCCTGGCAGATCCGCACTTCAGAGCCCGACTCATCAGAAGATCCCGCACGGAAAGCTCGCAACCCAGCTTCAAGCCACAAGCTTCCTGCCACGCGCCGCAAGGTGCCGAAGCTGGTGGGGCCTGGGCAGGTGGATCTTCGGACTTAACCTTTTCTGCGGGGCTCACAGGATTTCAGCTTCCATGATGTCCTACAAACTCAGAGGCGCATAAATGACTTCAGAAACACGGGTCTAAGGAGCAGACAGGGAACATCTGATGCATCTGTGAATGCATCATCTGCTGCCTCGCCGTTGGCAAAAAACACAAGTGGGTTGGATCAAGTCTCAAAGGCATCACCCAGTACCAACCGCGAAGGTCCCGCACTTCTAGGACACCTGTGCAAATTCGGAGTCGAATTGCTTGTGCAAGTCCCTCAGCATGCCGTTAGTTAGGGACTGCTCGCAGGGTCGCTAGACCCTGAAGAAACTCAAACAAACAACGTCTCCAATATCACCATTATTCAGAACTGTTGGATTCTGGAGTTTCCAGATTCTGCATCATCGCGGTGATCCCATTATCATTGAGTTATCATTCATCAACATCATCATCATCATCAT